AACCAGTTACAGTTATGAATATAAATATGAAATATAGACCAATTTCTTCCACCTACTCTACCTGACCATCCTCTTCAAGCAGGAGAGATCAAACTTCAATTCTGGAAGATATCTATCACAAGCGCCAGCCAGTAACTAATGTTAACAATAATGCAGTAATACAATTGCTTGTCAGAAATTTATTGATTATGAATATGGATATGATAATATAGATACTACCCGAGAAATCAAACCAGAGTACTGCATTGGGTTCCTTAGCTTGTCTATCACCAACACCAGCCAGCTGGTGACAGGTTAATAATATAAAATAATGATCAAACTACAACCTTCTTTACTTGGACATCCTTATCGAGAACGAGAGACCAAACTTCAATACTGTAGTGGCTTCTGGGAAATGTCTATCATCAACTCTTTCTAGTCAACTTCTGGTTTCAACTTTATTACCAAGTTATCTGTCAGTCCTCTACTGGATCATAACATCCCCAGAATCAACCCGCAGTTCTGAATTGACTTCTGAAGTTGTCAATCACGAACTGCAGATAGCTACTGGATAAGATTATCTAGACGCTTGACAGAATATTATTGGTTTTAAGATCATATGAAATATAGAGTAACATTGCCATAAGTATCATATTCTCCACCTGGCCATCACGACTGTCAGCTTAATCTCTGATTCAGTATTGGCTACCAGAGGCTGTCTATCACCAACGCAAGTCTGATATTGGTCTTAACGATGAGATACGTTGACTGGTTATGAATGTAGATTATGAAATATTGATCGATATATCATAACGACCACCTTCTACAGCAATCACCACGACAGAGATATTAAACCCGAGGTTTGTATTGGATGGTGGCTTCCTGAAGATGTCTATCACGAACGTCGACCACTGGTCTAAGGCTTAAAATAAGTTGAATGGTTATTAATATAAAAATGAATTATGGATCAATACATTTCATCATACCTTCACTCATATCGAGAGACCTGTATTGGCTTTCTGCATCTGTCTATCACGAACGCCAGTCACCTGCTAGTTTTACCATAACATCATGGAGTCGGATGAGAGAATATTACTAGTTATGAATGTAAAATCATATTAGATATGAATCAATACAACCCGTCTCTTTCCTCCAGGTATTGGTTTTGTGATTCTAGAAATAAAGTAAAAGTCAGTCGTTATGATTGACAGATCGTTGCTAGTGGTTATTGGTGTATCAGGAATATAATATAGAGTATGATTGGTGTGGTTAAGATATGAAATATTAGTTGTTATATGATTGGTCTGGTATGAGATATACAATGATTCATGATAGGTAGTTATAACTGGTCGATATATGGATACAGAACTTTATATTAAATATGATTCATGCTCGCAAGCTATTGGCTGAATGATTTGTCTGTGTAGGAATGACTTTTGGTGGTAAAGCCTCAGTAAACAAACTACAAACATTCCCGAGATTAGACCAATGCCACCTACAATCGGGGGAGTAAAAAAGCACACAATGTAGCCCTAAACACAACCCCAAGCACCGTATTCCCTATTTCTTCATTGTTCCGAGAGAAGGCCTGATCTACTGCCCAAAATTTACTTAAACATGAGTTTCACCACCTTATACTTTTTTTTTGCTCCGCTAATCTGCTCCACCCAATCCATTTCTGACAGCACGTCATAAAGTGTCTCTCCACTACTTCCTTATATTTCCTTCACTCCTGTCATCCCCCCACCCTACTTTCAACCTTCTCATTGTCAACTGAATGGAAGACAGTTAAGATCTTTATTACGGGTCGTTATAGCTCATCATTATTCTTTATAGCTAATATACTCGTTGTGATGGCCGTCATCGTGTTCCAATATCTCTATAGACTTTATGAAGATTACCATATCGCGATCTGTTGGGAATTACTAATGACATCTTTCTTTTCAT